GTGTGTTTTCACTATGCTAGCTATAAGAAAGGTATTCAATGTTATTTAAGAAGTAGAGATTTACCATGCAAATACTTTCTCTTCTGCTTTAATCTCTTGAAGAAAAAAAATGAAAAGATGTATTTTCATTGTGTGAAATATCATAAGATAATGGATGTATATCCAAATGCTAAGAATGAACGAATGTATAAATGAGGTTGAGGACGGGGAGAAAGACAGAACTAGCAGGAGAAAGAGGCATGAGTTATTGTGGAGGTAAGAACTTTGTTTGGAAAGAACAAATTTTAACGATCCATTTCTCCTGAAAAGCATCAACCACAAAAAGTTAAATGAAGTTCTTTTTGGTCAGTTACTTCTTTGGATCTTCTCAAACACTTATTGTCTTTGCTTATTCGTGTCCAAATGTAAATCTTTTAAGTATTGTCAGTATATTTTCTTTCCTTTTTTTGAAGCGAATATAAAACTCTTTGGATAGTCACTTTTATTGAGGTTTTAAGAATGTTTTTGAGTGATTCATAGTAATTTACATCCTTCTACTGAAATCTTGGATGTTGCTAAATTTCAGACTGTAATTTTCTTCCTTTGCTAGATATTGAAGCATATTTTTATGACACCACACTACACTCATTGGAATTGTGAGCCTTTATAAATTCAGGCAGATCTTTTCTACTCTACAAAAGGATGCATTTTAAGCAGAAGAAATAGAATGCTAAATTATGTAGTAGGTAAAAGAAGTGGGTTGTGGTGAGTTAAGAGGGTGACTACAAAGAACGCCAAAGCACATGGTTGTATGCACTGTCAGTGAAATTTAAAGCACATTTGCCCATCAACTTAAAAAACTACTGTTTATATGAAATGATAATTGAGAGAGATTTTTGTACATGCTGATTGCACATTTATTTGAAACCTCTAAATTCTGGTTTTAATGGCTGCTTAGTATTCCATTGTGTTAGCATCCCATAATTTATTTTGACAATCCCATTTTCATGTGATTCCGGACATATTTTTAAATTTCATATTTAACTATACAACTTTGAATTAAGAAAAAATAACAGATAATCAAATATGTAATCCAAGGTCTTCTGCCAAAATGGCCCTAGACAGCTCTTTTAACTTACTGGTTTTTTTTTTACAGTAGTTTTTTCAGTAGTTTTTACTGTATTTTTTTTTACAGTAGTTCTTACTGTTTCTGAACACGTTAGATACAGTGTTGACTCTAAACAATTAAAAACCTTTTTTCAAAATGATGCACGTTTATTTTAGAATATTTGGAAATACAGCAACTCAGACAGGAAAATATTAAACTCAACAGCAATCCCAACACCTGGAATAACTTCTGTTAACTTTTTGGTATAGCTTCTAAGTTCATGAGTGCACGCATATCGTGAGTGCGCTATTTTTTCTCTCCTACCCTCTGATCCCCCTCTGTCATACACACACAAATACATGTACATGCATTAGAATCTAGTTGAATACAAATTTTATAAGCTAATATTTTCTCTTAATACCATACTGGGAATCTTTTTCCAAGTTACTATATATTCTTTTAAAATATTAATCACTTTATTGTATTCTAGTATACAGATAGACTTTATTGTATCCTATTGTAGGTATATACCATAATTTGTCTCACTAAACTTCTGTTGCAAGACATTTATTGTCTCCATGTTTTTGTGTGTCTGATCAACTCAACTGTAATTTGTCCTCTATTCCTTGGTCTAAATCATGCCTAATATACATATATTTTCTAGCATTTATATCTTGTTGTCTAAATACCAGTCTCCTCTAAAAGAAACCAGAGCTCCTTGGAGAAATGTCTGATTCCATGACTGGGGCAGGGAAAATATAACATATATCTGAAACATTTTGCTATGCCAGAAAATAAAGTGCTCAAGGAATAATGAAGACATATCAAAAACACACAGATGCCAGCTTTAAGGAGCTCCTACTAGGCAAATTTTGGACACTTAGAACATCAAAATAAATTATATTAATGGATTATAACCCATTGAGTAAAATAGGACTCTGAGTCTATACTCATATAATTAATTGGCTTAAATAAATACTCTTCATCCTCCTTAGTAGGAAACCTACTGATAATATGAAAATTGAAAAATTAAAAAAAAGAAAATATATGTTATTTTGAAATAAGGAAGGTAACAAGGAGCAAAAATAGCTAATAGAGTTCTGAATTTGCTTCTGAGGAGCATGAACTGGTAATAGCAATAGTGGAGCATGTGATGCTGCTTTTTTGTTTTTAATTTGTTTCGTTTTATTTTAAGCCTTGTCAGATGATTTGACTTTTGAAAACTATAAATATACTTTTTATTTTGAAATAATTGCAAACTTGGAGAAGTGTTGCAAGAATACCACAAAGAATCTAGATTTCCCAGTTATTACCATTTCACAACATTTGTTTTCTCTGTGTGTGTGCAAGTTGAGTAAATTAGAGACATGTTTTATTACTCCTAATTAAATCTGTGTATATTTTTTGAAAACAAGGACACTCTCCTGCATAATCACAGTATAAGTATGCAAATCAGGAAATTAATATTGACATAATACTATATTCTAATCCACAGACCTTTTCAAAATTTTCAGTTGTCCCAATAATATCATTTAGAGAGAAAAAACAAAGGCTCTTCTCCTTTGGAACAGAATCCAATCCAAGATCATATGTTGCTTTGGCTCTTGTGTCTCTTTGGTCTGCTTCAGTCTGGAACAGTTCCTCATCTTCCTTTTCCTTCATGGTATTGGCATGTTTGAAACTGTTTTATAGGCAATGTCTCCTCCCTTCAAACATATACATATGTTTTTCCCCCCATTATCTTAATATAACTGTATCACCATTTTTAGTTAAATTCAGTATTAAGAACAATTTATTTTTATTCACAGTTAAGCCATGTAATGAACTATGATTACATTTTTCATTCTTGTACCTTTTGTTTTCTTTAGAGTTCATCATTCATTCATTCCTTTATTTTAGGCCCTCACTTTCTCCCTCTCTTGTTTTCTCTGCCTCTTGGCTTTTTTGCACCAATTCATCTACAAAATCTAATATAGCATGCTTCCTTTCATTATGCTTAAATGTATCAGGTATTCTGTCAGCCTCCCTCCCTCCCCACTTCCCTCCTCCCTTCCCTCCTTTCTCCCTCCCTCCCTCCTTCCCTCATTCTCTTTCCCTTTTTCTTTTCCTCTTTCTCTTTCCTTGCTCCCTCTCTTCCTTTATTCTTTCCCTCTTCATCTCCTTGCCCCCCGGAGTCTTTCTGCTCTAGCCTGTATAGGTTGTTCTCTAAGTCTGTTCTTTCACTGTCATCCAAGGAATTTCCTTTAGTTCTCTTCTGTGTTGAATCTCTTACTTTCAGATCATATTTCTTCTTTCTTGGTATATGCCCTTATTTTGGAAAAGTGAAGAGTCTTCCAAAGAATGTGTAAGAATGGGTACATGGAAAGTCAGTTTTTGAAATCTTTCCTATCTGAAATGGCTTCATTCTACCTGTATACTTGAATGACAGTTTGGCTATGTATAATTCTAGGTAGGAAATATTTTCCTCTAAAAATTTTGAAGATACTATTTTATTATCATTTAGTTACCAGTGTTACCACTGAGAAATCTGAAGCCATTCCTATTGTATTTTACCTGTTTATAGTCTCTCTGGAAGCTTTTAGGAATTGAAAATCCCTACTGTTATGAAATGGCATGGTGATAGATGCTTGTAGGGATACTACCCACCCCACTACTGTCCTCTTCATTTTGAGGAGGCCTGCTAGGCCCTGTCAACCTGGAAATACTTCAATTCAGAGGACATTTTCCTTCTTCATTTTCTGGAATTCTGTTCACTCAGGTACTATCTACCTGGATCCTTTAATTTTTAAAAATACTTCTCTCTCCTTTTCCATCCCATGTTCTTTTGGTTCAGCTTAGTTCTCAAGTTAAATCTTTTGAACTTCTGGTTGAGTTTTTATCCTTCCATCATATTTCAACTTTCATGAGCCTCCTTTTTTATTGGTTTTCCTGTTGTTCTCTGAATTTTTTTGAAAAATAACACCTGTTTTATTCATGAATTTTATATCATTCTTATCGCTAATGAGTTCATCTATTTTTAAAGCATTATATTCTCTATTCTGTCTGCTTCCTGTATTCTCTTTGTTTCTTTATTTGTGAATCTTTCACATCAGAGGCTTTCCACATGTTGAGATGTTTGGTAGTTCCCGCACCAGGTACTGACAAGCTGAGTAGACATTCAACATCTTGCTGCCCACGTTCTTGGGGCCAAATGAGGGGAAAGGGCTGGATATCGTTTCCTCTAGTATGTAGGACTTTCCCTTGATATCTGTATTTTCATAGGGCCTCTCTCTCCCTCCATCCTGCCTGGTGCCCTTGAGTTCAGAGACACTCCAGAAAGCAAATTTCCAGGTTTTTTGCAAAATTGGGGAAGAAAAGTCACCTGATTGCATGGGGGTAGGTGAGGGAATATGAGGTACTAACTCCTTTTTTGTTTTATGAGCTTTTTAACCAATCCTCTGGTTTAACTCTTCCAGCATTCTATGTCCACAGGTTCCTGGCACCTCTAATTCTTGAGTGTCGCTGTGATCCTGTGTCATAAATGTGCCTTCTTTTTCCTCGTCTACCATTCTCTCCTACATTTACTTTAGCTGTTTCTGCACTGCTTTTCAGTTACCACTCAACCATCAGATTTCCAGTTTCCAAAAAAGTAGTTAACTTTGTTTGCTTAGTCTCTTCTTTTTACCTTGAGGGTTTATGCCTTTTTATGACTTTTTGTCTTGTTCTGTCTTTGTTTCTTTACTGTCATTTTTAAAGTGGGATTTTGAGAAGAAGCAGAGATAAAAATACATGTTCCATATACCTTATTTAAGCAGGAGTCCAGTTATCCTTTTTGTTCTTGACATATTTGATTAGTATTTGTCGTGCCTAAGAAAAAGAGGATTTTAACTTTTTATTCCTTATAGATATTAATTTTTGATTGTTTTATTCCTAGGATGCCTCATTGATGGACATGAATTCCTTCAGCCCTGTGATGCCAACATCCCCTTTATCAATGATAAACCAAGTCAAGTTTGAAGATGAGCCAGATTTGAAAGATCTTTTCATTACAGTTGATGAACCTGAAAGCCATGTTACTACAATTGAAACATTCATTACTTATAGGATTATTACTAAGGTAAGTATTTAATGAACATTTTCTTGAATATAGTTGCTTTTTTGAACTCTTGGAACTGCTTCTTGTTCACTTTGACACTCAACTTAGAGAATCTTAACTGAATTGTTCACTTTGACACTCAACTTAGAGAATCTTAACTGAATTGACTTCTAGTTTTTCAGCCATTTTGAGTAAGACATTGCATCTTATCTATCCTTCACTTGTTCTATATGAATTCGAATTAACCTGAGTACCAGTCACTTGTATTTTAGCAGTTGTGCTTATTAAAATAGGAACACTTTAGGTTTTTAGTTTAAAAATTATAAATATATTTGGAAAAGAAGAGCCTCAGTTTGCTAATAAGAAAACAACTAGTTAAAAACATGATACAATATTTTGTGTTCACATTTCTTCTGAAGATTCCAAAAAAATAATTTCATTTGTTTTCCAAATAAGAGCAAATGGCCACTTTATCTTATATCAATATATGAAACACTGTTAGTTGTTTAATGATGCAAGGGCAGATCTAGAATCTGAGTCTCCTGACTCCTAGGACAAGGCTCTGCAAAAAGACAGTTTACTCTGAAAAAGTAAAAAAAAACAAATAGTATAATCTTTTTTTAAGGTCCTTTGTGTAATAGCAGCCTTCAAGAATTCTATTTATAAGTTATAATATTTTGTTTATGAAGTCTCACTCTACATCTCTTGTAGTGCATCCCTTTTGTAGCTGCAAAGCTTTTGGACCCTGTGTATATAATCACTTCTTCCAGTGCAGCCTCCACACTGCTGCTAATTATGTTTCATAAAGATGTATATATCTGATCTCTTTACTCAGATTCTTAAGATCCTTCCCTGGCTCCTCACTTCCTACAGAACAAAGTGCAGACTCCTTTGTATGATATATAGAGAACTTCTCAGTCTGGGGCCAGCGTACCGTATATGACTCACCTCTTACTCCCGACTTGTAATACCCCTGCTCTCCACTTGCATAGAACTACCTCTTTTATCTGAATATTCTAGGCTATTTCTTGCTCTCATGATTTTGCGTATGCTTTTTCTTCTGTCTGGTATGCCCTTCCCACTTTCAGACAGAAGAGTTACTGTTTGTTTTTCAAGATACAATTCAAAATGATGCCCACCACCTCTGCCCCACATGCTGAGTCCTCTTTCTTCTGTTTGCTCACAGTGTTCTAACTGAACTCTTAAAGAATATAAGATACCACAGTCAGTGTAGCAAAGAAATCAAAAGCCTATATTTAGTCCTTCTAAGCCTCAGGGTTTTTTTTGTTTTTTAATTTATAAGACTGAAATGATAATAGAACCTGGTTCTGTAAGAATTAAGTTAGGATAACTAATCAATGTAAAACACTTAGCAAAGTGCCTAACATATAATAAGTATTCAGTAATTGACACCTACCTGTGTGTAGGTCACTAACTGTGTGTTTATTTGTATTTATTCCCAATGAGTCTGTGAGCTTCTCAAGGAAGGTAATTGTATCTTAAGTTATCCATAATTCTAAACACAATCCTTGGGATATAGCAAGTTAGCAATTTAACCTTTCGGTGAGTGAGTGAGTGAAGAAATTTATAGTATCATAGTCATATCAAGATGCTGTAGAACAAGGCAGCATGGAGTTGAATCTTGATCGCCCCCCTTCCTTGCTATTTAATTAACCTCTCTATGCTTAGTTTCCTCATTTGTAAATTAGATAACAGTACTAACCTCGTATGGTCTTTGTGAATATTTAGTGTGTTAATACAGACACACTGCTAAGAATAGAGCCAGATTTCTCCTGTTACTACTGTTATAATTATAATCATCCATTTTCATTACCCTTTCTAGCAAAGATTTTGTGAAACTGAATTATTTTCCCCTCATTTGTTTCTTTCAGAAAGACACTTTATAAAACACCCTATGGATTTCATTCTAATCATAGACATACAGTTCTTATGAGTTATCCACATTACATCATATTTTAAATGCACTGCTCTTGCAGTAGTAGTAGTAATAGTGATAGTGATAATATTATAGTGTGTTAAACTAACTTTTATTGTGGGACTAATTTGTGCCAATGTTCTAACCACTTTATATGTTTTAACTCATCTGAAGCTCACAACAATCTGGATCTTATGATTTACCCTCATTTTGTGAATGAGCCCACTGAAACTCAAAACTTGCCAAAGGTTATACAACACAGTCATTGGCACACAGTACCCGTGTGCCACGAGTACTGAAGCCCGTGTGCCTAGAGGCCGTGCTCCACAAGAGAAGCCATTGCAATGAGAAGCCTGCACACCGCAGCAAAGAGTAGACCCCGCTCGCTGCAACTAGAGAAAGCCCGCGTGCAGCAACGAAGACCCAATGCAGCCAAACATAAATAAATAAATAAATAAATATTAAAAAAATTTTACATTCATGGACACCAAGATTATAAGGATAAATGCAGGAGGAGCTTCAAGATGGCGGAGGAGCAAGACGTGCAGATCACCTTCCTCCCCAGAAATACATCTACATGTGGAACAACTCCTACAGAACACCTACTGAATGCTGGCAGAAGACCTCAGAACTCCCAAAAGGCAAGAAACTCCCCACTTACCTGGGTAGGGCAAAATTAAAAAGAAAAAACAGAGACAAAAGAATAGGGACGGGACCTGCACCAGTGGGAGGGAGCTATGAAGGAGGAAAAGTTTCCACTTTCCACACTAGGGAGGCCCTTTGCGGGCGGAGACTGCGGGTGGCGGAGGGGGGAAGCTTTGGAGCCATGGAGGAGAGTGCAGCCACAGGGGTGCGGAGGGCAAAACGGAGAGATTCCTGCACAGAGGATCAGGGCCGACCGGCACTCACCAGGCCGAGAGGCTTGTCTGTTCACCCGCTGGGGTGGGCAGGCACTGGGAGCTGAGGCTCGGGCTTCGAAGGTCAGATCCCAGGGAGAGGACTGGGGTTGGCTGTGTGAACACAGCCTGAAGGGGGCTAGTGCACCCCAGCTAGCCCGGAGGGAGTCCGGGAAAAGGTCTGGAGCTGTCGAAGAGGCAAGAGACTTTTTCTTGCCTCTTTGTTTCCTGGTGCATGAGGAGAGGGGATTAAGAGCACTGCCTAAACGAGCTCCAGAGATGGGCGCAAGCCACAGCTAACAACGCGGACCCCAGAGACGGGCATGAGACGCTAAGTCTGCTGCTGCAGCCACCAAGAAGCCTGTGTGCAAGCACAGGTCACTATCCACACCTCCCCTCCCGGGAGCCTGTGCAGCCTGCCACTGGCAGGGTCCCGTGACCCAGGGACAACTTCCCTGGGAGAACACACGGCACCTCAGGCTGTTGTAATGTTACACTGGCCTCTGCCGCCGCAGGCTCACCCCACACTCTGTACCCCTCCCTCCCCCTGGCCTGAGTGAGCCAGAGTCCATGAATCAGCTGCTCCTTTAACTCTGTTCTGTCTGAGCGAAGAACAGACACCCTCAGGTGACCTACACGCAGAGACGGGGCCAAATCCAAAACTGAACCCCAGGAGCTGTGAGAACAAAGAAGAGAAAGGGAAATCTCTCCCAGCAGCCTCAGGAGCAGCAGACTAAATCTCCACAATCAACTGGATGTACCGTGCATCTGTGGAATACCTGAGTAGACAACAAATTATCCCAAATTGAGGAGGTGGACTTTGGGAGCAACGATATATATATATATATTTTTTTCCATTTTTTCTTTTTGTGAGTGTGTATGTGTATGTTTCTGTATAGCTTTGCTTTTACCATTTGTCCTAGGATTCTGGCTGTCCGTTTTTTGTTTGGTTTTTTTAGTATCGTTTTTAGCTCCTGTTATCATTGGTAGATTTGTTTTTTGCTTTGGTTGCTCTCCTCTTTCTTTTTTTTTTATTACTTTAAAAATATTTTTAAATTATTTTTTATTTTAATAACTTTCTTATTTTATTTTATTTCATTTTACCTTCTTCTTTCTTTCTTTTTTTTCTCCCTTTTATTCTGAGTCATGTGGATGACAGGCTTTTGGTGCTCCAGCCAGGCATCAGGGCTCTGCCTCTGAGGTGGAAGAGACAAGTTCAGGACACTGGTCCACAAGAGACCTCCCAGCTCCACGTAATATCAAACGGTGAAAATCTCCCAGAGATCTCCATCTCAACACCAAGACCCAGCTCCACTCAATGACCAGCAAGCTACAGTGCTGGATACCCTATGCCAAACAACTAGCAAGACAGGAACACAACCCCACCCATTAGCAGAGAGGCTGCCTAAAATATTAAGGCCACAGACAGCCCAAAACACACCACCAGACTTGGACCTGTCCACCAGAACGACAAGATCCAGCCTCATCCACCAGAACACAGGCACTAGTCCCCTCCACCAGGAAGCCTACACAACCCACTGAACCAACCTTAGCCACTAGGGGCAAAACCGGAAAACAACAGGAACTACAAACCTGCAGCCTGTGAAAAGGAGACCCCAAACATAGTAAGTTAAGCAAAATGAGAAGACAGAGAAACACACAGCAGATGAAGGAGCAAGGCAAAAACCCACCAGACCAAACAAATGAAGAGGAAATAGGCAGTCTACCTGAAAAAGAATTCAGAATAATGATCGTAAAGATGATCCAAAATCTTGGAAATAGAATGGAGAAAATACAAGAAACCTTTAACAAAGACCTAGAAGAACTAAAGAGCAAACAAACAGTATGAACAACACAATAAATGAAATTAAAAATTCTCTGGAAGGGATCAATAGCAGAATAACTGAGGCAGAGGAATGGATAAATGACCTGGAAGATAAAATAGTGGAAATAACTACTGCGGAGCAGAATAAAGAAAGAGGAATGAAAAGAATTGAGGAAAGTCTCAGAGACCTCTGGGACAACATTGAGCACACCAACATTTGAATTATAGGGGTCCCAGAAGAAAAAGAGAAAAAGAAAGGGACTGAGAAAATATTTGAAGAGATTATAGTTGAAAACTTCCCTAATATGGTAAAGGAAATAGTTAATCAAGTCCAGGAAGCACAGAGAATCCCATACAGGATAAA